GCCTACCTTCAAACTCAGTGCCTCTTTGCTTGACATCATGGGAAAATCCAAAGAAATCAGCCAAGACCTCAGAAAAAAATTGTAGACCTCCACAAGTCTGGTTCATCCTTGGGAGCAATTTCCAAATGACTGAAGGTACTATGTTCATCTGTACAAACAATAGTACGCAAGTATAAACACCATGGGACCACGCAGCCGTCATACCGCACAGGAAGGAGACGCGTTCTGTCTCCTAGAGATGAACGTACTTTGGTGCGAAAAATGCAAATCAATCCCAGAACAACAGCAAAGGACCTTGTGAAGATGCTGGAGGAAACAGGTACAAAAGTATCTATATCCACAGTAAAACAAGTCCTATATCAACATAACCTGAAAGGCCGCTCAGCAAGGAAGAAGCCACTGCTCCAAAACCGCCATAAAAAATCCAGACTACGGTTTGCAACTGCCCATGGGGACAAAGATCGTACTTTTTGGAGAAATATCCTCTGATCTGATGAAACAAAAATAGAACTGTTTGGCCATAATGACCATCGTTATGTTTGGAGGAAAAAGGGGGTGCTTGCGAGCCGAAGAACACCATCCCAACCGTGAAGCACGGGGGTGGCAGCATCATGCTGTGGGGGTGCTTTGCTGCAGGAGGGACTGGTGCACTTCACAAATAGACAATGACCCCAAGCATACCTCCAAAGTTGTGGCAAAATGGCTTAAGGACAACAAAGTCGAAGTGTTGGAGTGGCCATCACAAAGCCCTGACCTCAATCCTATAGAAAATGTGTGGGCAGAACTGAAAAAGCGTGTGCGAGCAAGGAGGCCTACAAACCTGACTCAGTTACACCAGCTCTGTCAGGAGGAATGGGACAACATTCACCCAACTTATTGTGGGAAGCTTGTGGAAGGCTACCCGAAACATTTGACCCAAGTTAAACAATTTAAAGGCAATGCTACCGAATACTAATTGAGTGTATGTAAACTTCTGACCCACTGGGAATGTGATGAAAGAAATAAAAGCTAAAATAAATAATTCTCTCTACTATTATTCTGACATTTCACATTTTTAAAATAAAGTGGTGATCCTAACTGACCTAAGACAGGGAATTTTCACTAGGATTAAATGTCAGGAATTGTGAAAAACTGATTTTAAATGTATTTGGCTAAGGTGTATGTAAACTTCTGACTTCAACTGTATATCGGTCCGCTAATACTAGTAAAGGCCCAGCGTTTGTAATTTTATTTTTATTTTTACTATGATTATTCATCACAGCACCCTCAGCACCCGTACTTCCCGCAGCTATGCTTAGGTCCTTGCTCCATTTCCACCTCTCCTCCTTTAACCCCTCTCTCTCTCTCCATGTATGCTCGGCATGCTCCTGAGTGGGCGCAGTGGTCTAAGGCACTGCATCGCAGTGCTAACTGTGCCACTAGAGATCCTGGTTCGAATCCAGGCTCTGTTGCAGCCGGCTGTGACCGGGAGACTCATGGGCGGCGCACAATTGGCCCAGCGTCGTCCAGGGTAGGGGAGGGAATGGCCGGCAGGGATGTAGCTCAGTTGATAGAGCATGGCGTTTGCAACGCCAGGGTTGTGGGTTCGTTTCCCAAGGGGGCCAGTATAAAAAAAAAAGAAATAAAAAAAAGATGTATTCACTAACTGTAAGTCGCTCTGGATAAGAGCGTCTGCTAAATGACTAAAATGTAAATGTAATGTAGTTACCTCTCCTCCTTTAACCCCTCTCTCTCTCTCCATGTAGTCACCTCTCTCTCTTTACCTCCACCTAGCTACCTCTCCTCCTTCCTCTTTTAATTGGAGCCAGCGAGAGCGGCCTAAATTCCATTAACAAAGGTGTGTGGGGGACTCATCAATCTTTTTTTATTACGCCATGACAGGGCTGGCCATGGAGCGCCCCTTCCATTTGTCACCGGCCTCGTTCACTGATAACGGGCATTTGTCACCGTGTTGCCTGCATGTTAATGCCATCAGCGGCCGTGATAGCACCGCGTCAAGGGAGTCATGGCGACACACACATCCGTCAGCGGCAGGCTTCCATGGCCACAGGGACACACTGCAATAAGGCTTGTGATGACAGGGCTGCTGCCATTAATTACAATGCTGCAGAGAGAGAGAGCTGTGTATGTAATGTAGTGTATGCAAGATACCTGCTTGTGTTTGAGTGAGCTTTTGCATTGGAAATGAGAAAGTACATGTGAACATTTAGTGATATCTGTAAGAATATAGTACTGTTGTGTATTAGTTTTAAGGTAGACTACAGCCCTACTACAGCGTACTGTAGACCACAGCCCTACAGAACTATAATGGTTCTTCTCTTTCTGGCAACTGGGTGTCAGAGTTGAGTCTGCCCTGTCAGCTGAGAGACAGTAGATTCCTCTACCGCTAATTAGACAGAGGTTGTTGCCTCTGAACATCCTGTGGGGAGACAGGAACTCCATCATGTGTCATGTCACAGTGAAATATCTCCCCCTGTCTGGGGGATTCACTTTGTAAATGAAAAGGCACAAGTCCACATGTTACAGAGCCAAGCATGAGTCAGTCAGTGGGGGCTAACCTCTGTCTCTTTTTGCCATGCTAGGGAGCTGCCTGGCAGGCAGAGACATGTGCAGTACATCTGCAGAGCTTGCCAGGGAACATTAGTATGCTGCACAAGAGCACTAGAAACAATACTTGTGGTAAAACATCCCAAACAACCCCAAACCCCAAAAGTCAATTTCCAAAACCCATACATCATGTTCTGTGTTCGATTCCAATGACTAAAACAAATGTTAATGTCTCTCCTGAGTTTTATTATACAATAAAAAGGATTGCATTGACCAAATTATTTTATTGATCATTTACATCAGGGATGGGCAACTTTGATGGAGGTGGGGGCCACAAAAAAATCTGAACTCATCAAGAGGGGCCGCAGTGGCGCGGGGGTCTGCATACCCACACATGTATTCAGAGCCAGCCCTAGCCTTTTGGGGGCTGTAAGCAACATTTTGTTGGGGGCAATTTTTTTGATGCCATTCTACACCTTTTGCCATTGGGTAGAGAGAAAACTTAGCAATTTTATAACTTATTTCATGCAATTCTACTCATTTTGCCATGGGGTGAAGAGAAAAATTAGCAGTTTTACAGCTAATTTCCTGTACTTGTACACATTTTGCCATGACTTATGCCATGTTCATATATCTGAGTGAGAGTGACTTACAAAATCAATGGGGGCCCGGTCTGTAATTCGACCATGATCACTACAAGTTTAGATAGCTGGCTAGACTAACTTACCAATCAAATTTATTTTAGCTTACATGGGCTAATTGAGTGACTGTCAATGACTGACATTACAATAGAAAAAGTACTGATGCACAACCAAATTTGAACTTGCACCTTGTGTATTCTACTATTCTAACTCTCGATAGTAAGTTGAGACCCTGACTGACTTCCGTAAAAAAAATAAAACATTTTGGAAATTGACCCGCTGGCCTACAAAAGTTGCCCATCCCTGATTTACGTCATAAAGCCTTGCATATTATTACTTATATAGAATATTTGATTCAAATACAGTAATATATTAGAAAATAATGCTGGCTTTCGACAAAAACCATACTGTGTGTATAAAACATATCGAGCTACACCCTGTTTAGATCCAGATCTGGCAGTCCAGATATCCACTACCCACTTACTGCTGCAGCCCTCGAAATGACTGCAAAATGATAGGCACTGGTTTGGAATAGGAAGGTCAAATACAAAAATAAAGTATGTGTGTAGTGTGTGTGCTTACTGTATGTGTGGGTAATGCATGCATGTGATGCTGAATAATCGCAGTCACAATTTAATCTGTAAGACTTCAAAATAGTTAGCACATAAAGTATGTTGTTGCGCATGATCAGCACAAACTCTTTTGAAAGATTTGACATACAGTATCTTTATGAAATAATTAAAGGGGCATTTTGTAAACTGAGGCCGCCTAATGGAAACTAGCCGAATTGCAACAACACTGAATTCAAACAACTCTCCTCCCTCCTCCGCATCCCATCCCCTGCAACGTTGGTGGACACTCGCTCTTGAGTCTTTTACTTTTGGTTTGGTCCACCAGCTTAAACAACTGAAAATACAATATTTTTCATTATTAAAAATAGATTTAGCAGTGATTTAGATGGTACACTGATTTTCTACAGTGCTTGTTTTGTCACATAAACTGAAATTAGGTGAACAATGTCAAATTTTAGCAACCAGGAAATGGCAGAGCTATATTCACATGTTGAATGCTTGGCCCCCAGTCTGCCATTGTTGGTTGACTGGTGAGGAGATGACTATGCCTCTGAGTGATGCTGATCGAAGAGAGGGAGGGTGCATCCTTCCAATTTGACAATAAGAGATGATCTTTGGTTGACAAATAGGAAGGCTGCACCATTAGAATGCAATTTTGCATCAGAATGCAAATTTGATTGTGTGAAACTATCATTCCACTATTTCTGCAGATATATTTAGGACATTTTCTGAAATTATATTGCAAAAATATTACATAATGCTCCTTTAATTTACAGAACAATGAAATATGTACAAATGACACCTCCAAGATGGCTAAGATTACAGATTTAAAAAATGGCATTATATAGTTTGAAGTACGAAGTCTGCATTGTTATCCCGATGCTTTTGGGGGCATATTGGGCATCTCAGTCAGTACGACATGATATAGTAGCCTATTCTTCTCATGATGAAAATAGTTCGTTTTTTTACATTACAAAACAGATTAATACATTTGTGACATTTACCTTCTCTCTCTCACTCACTCAATCCCCTTTTCTGTCATTCCTTGTTTTCTGCCTCTCTCTTCCTCTCTTTCTGGCCATGTCCCTATAGTCTTAAACATCTGCTTCATCTCCTTGAGTTTGTGGCCACTGATCGGCAAGAGCATGATTTGCTCTTCAACCTATCAATGGTCATACTGAAGGAAAGAAAGACATTTCAGAGAATTGGGACGCAGCCAACCTCTCTCTCAGAGCCACTCTCAGGGGACGGAGGAGGAGCTGTCAAACACCAGCGATCCGTTCTCCAGGGTTCCGTATCCGTTCATCTTCTTCAGTTTGAGCTGGTCGGGATGGCCCAGGCCCTGGGTCTCTGGCACCGCCTCCTTGGAAACAAACATCTGGCTGATCTCCACAAACGTCTTGTTCTTGGTTTCGGGGATGACGAAGAACACGTACTGTAGGTCGCAGACACAAGCAGTAGAACATAGGTAGCAGTAGGACCCAGCGGACATCTGACACCAGGGAGGGACGGACAGTCAGAGAGACGGTTTAGATTAGAACGTTCATAGTGCTTCGCCTTGATTTGTGTTTTTTGAGAGTAAGCAATTTAGGACAACCAAAATTCACATATTGTCCTAATGAGCAAAGGCATTGGCCATGCTGGATGAGGGTGGACACCATGTTAGATAAGACTCCATGTTGAGTCTGGACCGAGGTCATGCTGGGTGGGGGGCCAAAGCCATGTCAAGTAAAGCCATGTAAGGGAGAAGCAGTGCCATGCTGAGGCCATGCAAAGTAGAATACCACCCCCGGACACCACACATACACCCACTAGAGGCTGGAGCAACACAGTGTCAGCTGCACTGCAGAGCCACTGGAGCAGGTTAGGTGTTAGGTGCCATGCTCAAGGGCACAACGGCAGTAGGTGGCACCTGAATCTTTTATGCCATGTTAAGTACGAGCACAGCCAGGTCAAGTTAAGTGAGGACAGAGGCCATATGAAGTGAGGGCAGAGGCTGTTGGTTACCTGTAGGAAGGGGACGACGAAGCCCACTGTGAAGTTGAAAATCCAATTGAGGGATCCTCCCACAGTGTAGGCTACTGGCCGGTGAGACTGTTTAAACAGCTCCGCCGTTATCAGGAAAGGAATGCCCGCTACAATACATACACTGGCCGTTAGTACACTGCACACACACACATTCAACCTATAATTACAGTCTACATACAAACACACATTATGTAAACAAACTGTCAGGTGATTCCCTCTGGAGAGTGCCAGGGTAAAGTGGCTTTAAGAAGAGCTCTTTATCTACTGTACCTATACAGGAAGTACGGAAGTGGGGTAACACGTTATATGTAGGGGGTATACATAACACCAGTCATAACACCTTTATGAGTGATGCAGTATCATTCATAACAACCTTCAAAACACATTTATTCAACATCATTCATAAGGAGTTTTCAAAATAAAAGTCCCATTGAATAAAAATGTATTTACTGTCACAGTACCCAAACCCCTGTGTTAGGAGGTCAGTGTGATGCGGTAGGACGAAGTCAGGCGCAGGACACAGAGCTAATCGAAAACGTACTTTACTCGTAGGTAACGTAAATAACATAACCTCCACACAGGGAGGAAACAAACCCGCTCACCAGACGACAACCAAACATGAACAAACACGCACAACATACAGTGGGAGCCAGAGGGTTAAATAGGGAAGAAATCAATACATAACGGGAACCAGGTGTGAACAATAAAGACAAAACAAGTAGAACACAGAAACATAGATCGGTAGCAGCTAGTACTCTGGCGACGACGAACGCCGAAGCCTGCCCGAGCAAGGAGGAGGAGCAGCCTCGGCTGAATCCGTGACACCCTGACACGATATTCACGCAACAGGCTGGGAGCAGTACAGGGTCAGCCTTAAAGCATTACCCTTGTAGCAGTTTAGGGGTTAAATGTTTTGCTCAAGGTCACAATGGCAGTAGGAAATAGCACCAGCCCTGGGTGTAGGCATCTTTCAAATAGATAAACTAGCTGTGCTTGATTGAGCTTTCCTGGTGCAATGGAATTAATGGCATAGTCCCAAAAGTGCAAACCCTACCTGCCCATCTGGGATTCCAGGCAGGCTCAAGCAAACGCTCAGGCTCAAGCAAACTATTTAAACCCAGGTCTGGATGGCACCTCAGCAATTGTTTGACATTGTAATGGAGGTAATAAGCAACCTTAGCTGAGACCTGAAGACTTGTATTAGCTCCACAAACTAATGCCTTGCCTTTATCTCAGCAGGCTAACACAATCTTGATTTTTAAAAAAACGTTTTGTACTATAATGTAAAGGGACTTTTGTTTAGAAAGACCCTTTATGAATTATGTTGAATACATGTGTTATGAATGTTGTATGAATGATACTGCAACATTCATGAAGGTGTGATGACTGGTTTCATAAAGGTGTTAAGAATGCTTTATGTATACCCAATTCATATAAAGTGTTACCGGAAGTGGAGTGTCTAATAACGTTTGGTCACAGGTGATGAATATGCAATGCCTTGTGTCACTACACCGCTAATGACCCTATGAATGAACATGAGTCAAGGCAGCATTATTTGTGCATAATTATTTGTGACTGATTATTGTGGGTACCGGAAGAATAACACTTTTAGACTGATGAGGAGTTAGGCCCCCGATTCATTATTCATCTTTATTTGCTCTTGAGTGGCAGCATACATCATGTTTCTGACCAATGAGGCGCGAGGAGGCCTAATTAAAGACAGGATCCCAAACAGAATGAGCCAATCCACTAAGGACCAAAGGGGGATGTAGGAGGGACTGTACATACATACATCATAGGCTGCATACATCTCTACAGAGCACACTCTCATTTGTCTCTCTTACATGGGATGTAAACATCATCATCACACACAGGCAGATAATTGGGAGATTAGAGCAAGGCCATTGGCTGCATTTACAACCTCTCAACTTCGACCTCCAGAGGGCGCCATTTCCCTACACAGCACCGAAGTGCATCAGAGGTCGGACACCAGCAAATCGGGTAAGCGACCCAACCCCAATGTCTCCCTGTATGAAGCCTGGATGTGTGTGTGTGTTCTCGGCTCAAAAATGAATGGAAAGTAAATTCATAAGGAGAAAGGAAAAGAGTAAGAGCACCAGCTGTTCCTGATAACTATGTGATCACGCTCTCCGTAGCCGATGTGAGTAAGACTTTTAAGCAGGTCAACATTCACAAGGCCGCAGGGCCAGACGGATTAGCAGGACGTGTACTCCGAGCATGTGCTGACCAACTGGCAAGTGTCTTCACCGACATTTTCAACATGTCCCTGACTGAGTCTGTAATACCAACATGTTTCAAGCAGACCACCATAGTCCCCGTGCCCAAGGACACTAAGATAACCTGCCTAAATGACTACCGACCCGTAGCACTGACATCTGTAGCCATGAAGTGCTTTGAAAGGCTGGTCATGGCTCACATCAACACCATTATCCCAGAAACCCTAGACCCACTTTAATTTGCATACCGCCCCAACAGATCCACAGATGATGCAATCTCTATTGCACTCCACACTGCCCTTTCCCACCGGGACAAGAGGAACACCTACGTGAGAATGCTATTAATTGACTACAGCTCAGCGTTCAACACCATAGTGCCCTCAAAGCTCATCACTAAGCTAAGGATCCTGGAACTAAACACCTCCCTCTGCAACTGGATCCTGGACTTCCTGACGGGCCGCCCCCAGGTGGTAAGGGTAGGTAACAACACATATGCCACGCTGATCCTCAACACGGGGGCCCCTCAGGGGTGCGTGCTCAGTCCCCTCCTGTACTCCCTGTTCACCCATGACTGCAAGGCCTGGCACGACTCCAACACCATCATTAAGTTTGCCGACGACACAACAGTGGTAGGCCTGATCACCGTCAATGATGAGACAGCCTATAGGTAGGAGGTCAGAGACCTGGCCGTGTGGTGCCAGGATAACAACCTCACCCTCAACGTGACAAAGACAAAGGAGATGATTGTGGACTACAGGAAAAAAAAGAGGACTGAGCACGCCCCCATTCTCATCGACGGGGCTGTAGAGGAACAGGTTGAGAGCTTCAAGTTCCTTGGTGTCCACATCACCAACGAACTATCATGGTCCAAACACACCAAGACAGTCGTGAAGAGGGCACGACAAAGCCTATTCCCCCTCAGGACACTGAAAAGATTTGGCATGGGTCCTCAGATCCTCAAAAAGTTATACAGCTGCACCATCGAGAGCATCCTGACTGGTTGCATCACCGCCTGGTATGGCAACTGCTCGGCCTCCGACCGCAAGGCACTACAGAGGGTAGTGCGTACGGCCCAGTACATCACTGGGGCCAAGCTTCCTGCCATCCAGGACCTCTATACCAGGCGGTGTCAGAGGAAAACACTCAATATTGTCAAAGACTCCAGCCACCCTAGTCATAGACTGTTCTCTCTGCTACCGCACGGCAAGCGGTACCGGAGCGCCAAGTCTAGGTCCAAAAGGCTTCTCAACAGCTTCTACCCCCAAGCCATAAGACTCCTGAACAGCTAATCATGGCTACCCGGACTATTTGCACTGCCCCCCCTCACCCCCACCCCCACCCCCACCCCATCTTTTTACGCTGCTGCTACTCTGTTAATTATTTATGCATAGTCACTTTAACTCTACCCACATGTACATATTACCTCAACTACCTCAACTAGCCGGTGCCCCCGCACATTGACTCTGCACCGGTACCCCCCTGTATATAGCGTCCCTACTGTTATTTTATTTTACTTCTGCTCTTTTTTTTCTCAACACTTTTTGTTGTTGTTGTTGTTTTATTTTACTTTTCTATAAAAAAATAAATGCATTGTTGGTTAAGGGCTGTAAGCATTTCACGGTAATGTCTACACCTGTTGTATTCGGCGCATGTGGCAAATAAAATGTGATTTGATTTGATTTGAAGATCAAGTTTGTAGAAGAACGCAGCTCACCTGGCCCAATGCAGAAACCAGCAATGATACTGATAACACATCCAACACTGACATAACACATGAATGGTAAGTGAACCTGTAAGCAGAAGTAGAAGATATAAGTTGCCATGACCTCACTTAGAAATCTCCTTAAGGAATATACTGACTGTCATAGTTGGCCACTCCTAAATCTCTACCCGGTACAGCCAGAAAAGGACTGACCACCCCTCTGAGCCTGGTTCCTCTCTAGATTTCTTCCTAGGTTCCAGCCTTCTAGGGAGTTTCTCCTAGCCACTGTGCTTCTGCCTCTGCATTGCTTGCTTGCTCTGGGGTATTAGGCTGGGTATCTGTAAAGCACTTTGTTAAAACTGCTGATGTAAAAATGGCTTTATAAAATAAATGGGATTGATTAATCAAATTGAATAAAGTACTCTGTCGTATCACAAGGAGTAAATTAATATAGTAAAAACACACCCACACACACACAAATACACACCTGTAAAATGAGGGAGAGGGTGATCCCAGCACAGCAGAATCCCATGACTAGAAACCCCCCGATGATGAGAGGCCTTCTGCACAGCTTCTCTATGGTAAAACACTAGAGAGAGAGGGAGAGAGAAACACGAGATACTGTACAAAGAGACGGAAAGCAACAAAACATTAATAAGAGAACCATTAAAAGAGAAAACTATGACAGCGCAAACTTAACCCAAATCCCATAGACTCACCCTAATGAGGCCAGCGATGATCTCGATGGCTCCTGTACTGTACTGGATCTCTGGAGCTAGGATGCCCGCGTTCTCAAAGATGTCATTGGTATAGAACCAGAGCTGCAAGAGAGACAGACATATTTGGGCTTGTGGGGCATGGGCACAGGTGGCACAGCCTGGCACAGCATGGGCACAGAGTAACAGTGGACAACCACTAACATTCAATTTAAATTCAATTTGGGGCTGTGGGGGAGGTTCACTCTAGACACGGGGGTAATCAGCAGGAGGAGCAGACGGAGGTAGTGAGAAACCAACACACACAGGTACACACTCCCATTAAACACACAAATACACTCCTTTATCCTGCTGCGATCACGGAACCGTGACAATAATATGATATAATATGCCATTTAGCAGACGCTTTTATCCAAAGCGACTTACAGTCATGTGTGCATACATTTTTAGGTCTGGGTGGTCCCAGGGATCGAACCCACTACCCTGGCGTTACAAGCGCCATGCTCTACCAATTGAGCTACAGAGGACCACAAGGCTTGCCACTTGTCACCTCCACTTAACCTACAGCTCACCTCTGGTATACATTAATAAAGATATAGTTCTCTAAGCATATGAATGCCACGTTTAAAGCTTTTCCTGGTCTTTGGCGTACCTTTCCCAGAAGTTCGTGTAGACCCAGGATCTGGGCCGAGAAGACCACAGCACAGATGAAGATGCTGGGCACGAGCCCCAGGAAAGCATGCAGGTTCTTAGGAGCTATCTCTCCCAGATACATGGGCACCACACTCAGAGAGATACCTTCACAATACAACACAACAATGACAACGTGGATGGAAACATTAAACAGTGAGCAAACATTCACCTTCTTTTCATTGCAACATTCGTAACTTTATCCAGCTATTGTGCCACATATATATGTATAGAACTCTGACTGATTGAACCTTGACCACTCCTGAACCTTGACCCTTATCTTAACTCTAACTCTCACCCCTGAACACTACCCCTCTCACTGAGTGGACACACTGATATGTTTGTACCGGAGTGGATCCCCGTGACGAAGCGACCAAAGATGACCATCTCTGGAGAGCCACAGATCCTGCTGAAGCCCATGAGTGATCCAGCGCTGAACACCAACACCGTCGAGTTCATCACCGTGCCTTTCCTATACACACACACGCAAAAGTTATGGTTGGCCGTCCACCATTAAAACGCTTAGATTATCAGAGCCAGCTAATTAATGTACCAAACCCCAAACTGTTGTATTTATGTATTTGCACAAGCGGTGCATAAAAGCACATGGACCAGAGGCAATAGCAGGAGTACATATTTTTGTTTTATGACATAGAGTAGTAAAGTCTCCCCCAAATATACAGTCAGGGAGGGCGTTGAGAGTTCTGATCACCCATAAAACACTGCTGGGTGATGAAATTGATCAGCTCATACCTGTGCTCGTAAATTGTTCTCTTTCATTAGCATATAAATGTCCAGTCAGATCGTTTGAATGCTTTAGATAAATTAGATCTAAGCCTGCACTGAATACAAAAAAACTATTTAAAGAGCTGGGCAGAGGGGACAGAGAGTGCACTGACTGCACTCCAAAGGGTATAGGGGACAGGTAGTGTGCAGTGTAGAGGGGACAGAGAGAGTGTACACCATAGGGTAGTTTGCAATGTTCCCTCTAAGCCGCGCACATGCGTGGGCGCGCAGCTCCACTGAGCAGAAGAAATATCAGCCCCGCGAAGTTCACTCAACTTTCTAGAGTTTCCCCCATTAGTTAACACTATCAATGTTTCCCTTTACTGTGGGAATTGTGATCGAATCAACGCAATATTTGCCACTTTCAATGCAATATACCAAAACCAAAACGAACTACGCAAACGTAGTATGCAAAACTAACTACGCAAGAGATTTTGTTGTAGGCAGAGCGGATCGAAGTAGGATTCTATTGGATTGACAGGCACTACTCAGCCCGTACTCTACACAGACAGGTGCGCCATAACCAATCAGAGCTGCAGTAGGCCTATACACAAATAGACCATTGCCATTTATGGATCTGTGCCATTCACTTTGAACTGGACTGTTTACAGCACGAGCGGTCGTATGTAGATGCGCTTGTTTTGAGATCAAAGCGAGAGCTAGCCACGTGTGCACATTTGCTCATATTCTTTGCTAGTTAGTGAGTTATTAGCCCAGTTATAGCTCATTTGTAGTCCACAATGGGGGAGTGATTGCTTCCTACAAAAGCACAAAACGTGTACATTTCTAGACATCTTTGAAAAGCCATTCAGGTAAAGAGCTTTTTTTTTTTGTCTTAAAGGGGAAGTGTTGTATTTTGAGACAGGCTTGAATAAGCTAAGTAGCCAATAGGGAGGGGGTAACATAATTTGTCTGATTCTCTGTAATAATGGTATGGGAATAATAATACATTTTATTTTGTAAAGTCGTTTCTTGCATCAAACAACACAACAACATTTTAAGTCACCTCCTTGTCTGAAGGACAAGTGGATAAACAGGTTAATGTCAAGCCCTGCATGTTTTTGTTTTTTTCATGGAATATAGGTCTACATTGAACACCACACATTTGCTGCTACTGTAGGCTGAATGATAGAACAGCTATTTCCATGTTAAAATGTTATGTTATGCATTTTCTCCATTGTTTTTGATGGTAGGCCACTCTGGTAGGCCTACATGATGATCAAACAGCCACAGTAGCCTACTTGGTCACTTAAAACTCTAACTTAAAACGGGTACAGGCTGTGTTCACAGTAAACGCGCGCTGGAAGTTGCACAGAATTTTCACAAAGTTCAAGTTTGTGCTCAGCAGACTTGAAATTCGCTCAGGGCCTACATTATTTTGAGGGAAAAGAGTTAGAACTCTAAAGGGCACAGGGTAAGTAAACACTATGCACTCTGAAAGGCAGACAGGACGGACATTGTGTGCTCTGAAGGGCAGAGGAGACCAAGGGAGCCAGGGCAGGGTCATCCCTGGGGTCAGAGGGCAGAAGGTCACTCAGGGGTGATAGATGGAGGCACAACTCTAATGCCCTCAGTGGTGTGTGTATGTGACTAGCTCAGAGTGCCAGGCAGGATGGCAGTGCCCAGAGCTCCAGATGCTGCAGTGTGTCTCTGAGGCTGTTCATGTCAACTGGCCAACAGCCACCCTGCAGCCGCAGAGTCTGGAGGGCTCAGCCATTGACCAAAACCAAATCAAAGGTCTTCAAAGGACAGGACTTTCCAAATCCAGTCATGCCTTCCCTTTCATTAGGTCCATTCTAACATGTATTACACATACAAAGGTGTAAATAAAGATGAACACTGTCTCGAATGGGGAGCAGAGAATATTTAACTTCTAAAACCCAATATATTATGGTGGAATCATCCAGTGTAAACCCTGTATAGGAGTGTGTGTCACTGGGAGTGTGTGTATGGGGAGTGTGTGAGGATCTCACCTGCCGAACCTGGTGACGAGCATGCCCACCATGAGGGATCCCCGGTAGACCCCCAATGGCAAAGATTGACACGGTGAGAGAGTACATGAGGGTCAGAGCCTCCCCACCCAGCCATGTGCCATGACGACTCACTGATGTTCTATTGTAGAAGTCTTTAATGTACTGAGGGATAGAGAGAAACAGGGAGAAAGATATAAAGAAAGAGGGGGGATTGAAATAGTATTACTATAACAGTATTACTACTGTTAATCACTATGATGACTTTTCATTGATTTAATTATGTATGAAAAATGTATGCACTCACTAACTGTAAGTCGCTCTGGATAAGAGCGTCTGCTAAATGACTAAAATGTCAATGTTAATGTTAATTTGTTCTTGTGCTCTTGATTTGGCAGTGTAAGTAAGATACCTTTCATGCCGATTGAGGTCATTGAGTAGAATTAAATTGAGAGGGGCAAAGAGATGTTATCACATAACCATCATCTGACACCATTCAAATTACTGTATAACATACAATGGGTTAGATAATGTCACTACGACTTCAATTTGTCACCAGCATCAAAACATACAACACACTCCCTAATTGTCATTCTTACTTTCCCAAAATGACAGCCAAAATGCCAGTGCCAATGAGAAAGCCACACTCACATTCAATCCATCTCTATCTGGCCAATCAGAACCTTTAGAGGGGAATGCAGAATCACAGCCAAGCTGGGAGTCCTTGTCATGTGGCCCGTGCTGCTCCTCTCTCCCTGGCATTGTCGGGTCACAGACCAGGACTAATTCAATTCCACTGCCCTGTCCTCTTTTACCTCAACCTCTTAATCAATTTACCATCAGTCCATACAGTTTGGCCAATTCAGGATCAATTCAACCACTCACATACTCAGTGGAGGAACGGTGAGACAGGAAGAGACAGACCTTGCATTGTTCATGCGCACTGTCAGCTAGCTCCATTGTGTGTGTGAAGTTTGTTCTGACAACAGTAATTTGGCCTTAGTGTGTTTCAACCATAAAAACAGAAAAATGTTTGGTCATGCTCTAAAAATATACAGAACCAGTCAAAAGGGTTTTTCTTTACTTTTACTATTTTCTGCATTGTAGAATAATAGTGAAGATATCAACACTATTAAATAACACATACGGAATCATGTAGTAACCAAAAAAGTGTTAAACAAATCAAAATATATTTTATATTTGAGATTCATGAGGTAGTCACCTGGAATGCATTTCAATTAACAGGTGTGCCTTGTTAAAAGTTAATTTGTGGAATGTCTTTCCTTCTTAATGCATTTGAGCCAATCAGTTGTGTTGTGACAAGGTAGGGGTGGTATACAGAAGATAGCCCTATTTGGTAAAAGACCAAGTCCATATTATGGCAAGAACAGCTCAAATAAGCAAAGAGAAACAACAGTCCATCATTAATTTAAGACATGAAGGTCAGTCAATACTGAAAATGTCAAGAACTTTGAAAGTTTCTTCAAGTGCAGTCGCAAAAACCATCAAGCGCAATGATGAAACTGGCTCTCATGAGGACCGCCACAGGAAAGGAAGACCCAGAGTTACCTCTGCTGCAGAGGATAAGTTCATTAGAGTTACCAGCCTCAGAAATTACAGCCCAAATAAATGCTTCACAGAGTTCAAGTAACAGACACATCTCAACATCAACTGTTCAGAGGAGACTGCGTGAATCAGGCCATCATTCTTCAAGATGTTCAAACGTTCATAGATGACCATCAGGGTCAAATAATAATCACAGTGGTTGTAGAGGGTGCAACAGGTCAGCACCTCAGGAGTAAATGTCAGTTGGCTTTTCATAGCCGAGCATTCAGAGGTCGAGACAGCAGGTGCGGTAGAGAGAGAGAGAGGGTCGAAAAAGCAGGTCCCGGACAAGGTAGCACGTCCAGTGAACAGGTCAGGGTTCCATAGCTGCAGGCAGAACAGTTGAAACTGGAGCAGCAGCACGACAAGGTAGCATGTCTGGTGAACAGGTCAGGGTTCCATAGCCACAGGAAAAACAGCAGAAACTGGATCAGCAGCACGACCAGGTGGACTGGGGACGGGGACAGCCAGGAGTCATCAGGCCAGGTAGTTCTGAGGCATGGTCCTAGGGCTAAGGTCCTCTGGGAGGGGAGAGAGAGCGAGATGGGAGACTTAGAGGGCGCATACTTAAGTTCACACGACACCAGATAAGACAGCACTGTGGACCCATCCGATGATACCCCCACCCATATCCAACCAGGCAGGATATAACCTCACCCACTTTGCCAAAGCACAGCCCCCACACCACTAAAGGGATATCAACAGACCTAACTTACTACCCTGAGACGAGGCTGAGTATAGCCCACGAAGATCTCCTCCACCTCACGAGCCCGAGGGGTCGCATACCAGAGAGGAAGATCACATCAGTGACTCAAACCACTCAAGTCGAGTATAGCGAAAAAAAGCCTAGCACGACGTTATGCACCCCTCCTAGGGACGGCATGGAAGAACACTAATAAGCCAGTGACTCAGCCCCCGTAATAGGGTCAGAGGCAGAGAATCCCAGCGGAGAGAGGGGAAATATCATTCCTCTGCTGGAGCTGTAAAACACAAAAGGTATCTTATTTGCATATGTTATGGTCTTGTGAAGGGTGGCTGAATTCTGGCAAAGAGTGTGTTATTTTATCTCAGCATGTCTACAGATTCTCCCTTCTCCCTGTTTTTGTTTGCTTGGAAATGTTGATACTGGAGACTGTTATCTGAAGAAACTGTGTAACCAAGTATTTATAGCGGCTAAATGCATTGCCCTTAATTGGAAGGTTGGTTATCCTCCCACAATGTCAAGTTTGTATCACTAGCTTTGATTTATTACCAGATTAAAGGTATACTGGGCAACTTTCATAAAGTCTGGATGCCTTATATGGAATACAGTATGACTAAAGGAGTCTGTATTGAAAACATGCCCACGTCAGGGGAGATACCTATTTAGGCAATCCCTAGCTGCTGGACTGCTCAGTCCTGGCCCTGGGGGTCTGCAGTCCTGTGGGTTGTCACTCTGGCCTTGGCCTGACAGACCCGGAACCAATAATTAATGTTTCACTAAGATCCTAAGGCTGAGTGGGGTGTGTTGAGTTGGGGCGCTGCAGGGTGGTGGACCCCTAAGGACAGGACGGTGCTACCCAGCTATATTGTGTGCAAGTAAAAAGAGCTCTAAAGTACTATTAGGCCTATAAGATTAATTATATGTAGGATTTGCTGTTTCTGTGTGTTAATGTATATTTGAGGTGTATGTGGGTTTTCTTGTGGGTTTTTTGTTGTTGTTTCCAAATCTTTCCATTGGGAACAAAAAAAATTAAAGGTGGGAACTGCGAAGGAACTTGTGTTGGGAGAGAGTTGAGTTATTGACTAGACTGGTGGGGGTCGGGCGTACAGGCGGCTCGGGCTGGCTGGTCGGTCTAGCTGAAATTTGATATAGAGGATGTCTTAATAAAAATCAAAAGTCTGTATTTTTTCAAGAGTTGTTCCTTTGTTAGGCTATTGGTTAAAGGTGCATCACAATATGTATTATTGAATTACCTTTGATCTAGTTCAGTCGTATTTATAACTTAAACATATTTAATAATGATATTTTACCTAGCTTGATGACTGTGGGCAATTGTGCTTACTTTTTGTTCTAAATAGAGACAGCATATTGGATTGTGTAAAAATGCAGGAAATGAGCTTTAGATGCCCAACACATTCTGGGGGAGGACCCCCATACCCTTGCCAGGTTATGTCCCCCCCACTTCTAAAACCAAAGTGGCACCCCTGGGCTGCAGGATACAGTTAGTATTAGCATTGGACTGTACGATACAGTTAGCATTAGCTTTGGGCTGTAGGATACAGTTAGCATTAGCATTGGGCTGTAGGATACAGTTAGCATTAGCATTGGGATGCAGGATACACTTAGCATTAGCTTTGGGATGCAGGATACACTTAGCATTAGCTTTGGAGTGGCTGGATCTAAAGATAGGTGTCAAAATTATTGGCACCCCTGTTTTCAATACTTTGTTCACCCTCCCCTTGCTTGGGGTCATTGTCTTGCTGGAAGATCCACTTGCAGCCAAGTTTTAGCCTCTCCTGACAGAAGCAACCAGGTTTTTGGCTAAAATGTCTTGGTACTTAGTAGAGATCTTAACAAGGGTCTCCGGACCATTGGAAGAAAAACAGCCCCATAACATCAAAGATCCACCACCATATTTTACAGTAGGTATGAGGTTATTTTCTGCTTATGCATCCTTCTTTCGAGGCCAAACCCACCACTGGTGTGCATGGCTAAAGAGCTCTATTTTCTTCTCATCTGACTATAGCACCTGGTTCCAATCCAAGTGCCAATGCCGTTTGGCATTTACATTTGTTGGTTGCTCTCAAGAAAGTATTTTTCATGGCAACCCTTCTAAATAGCCTATTGGCATGGAGGTGGCGTCTAATTGTAGATTTAGAGACTTGAACCCCCCCACCCCCCCAGGTTCAAGCAACCCCATCAAAAATATATATATTTAAAAAATTGTTTTACAGCAAATGTCCTGCTATTCTACACGTTTCTATTTTGCCATGGCGCCGTGAGGTCGCCTAGGCAGAGAGCTCCTGTACATTTTGTAAATATTGAATCTTATTTAATAGTTTTTTGTTTGCATCTTTTTATTTAATTTTAGTTTTGAATAGCTAAATTAGCATAGATTAAGTCTGGGTTACATCTATTTGTTTCCTGCTCGTATATGTTATTTGATGCTTGTTTATTTTTTATTTTACATGGCTTATGATGTGTTCATATGCTATCTAGGGGGCCTCGACCTGCAGGGGGACCAAAATGCATTGGGGTGTGTGCTACGTAGAATGTTAATGCATCTTTCATTTGGCTTGATTTTATTTATAAGAATCTTAGGGGTGCCAATAATTTTGACACACATATTTTCTTGATAAAAAAAAAACTTCTTAAACAAAATCTCTTTCTCTAAGCAATTGTATTAGTATCAAATAACACAATTTTCACACAAAAAATTAGCATACAATATAGCTCGGTATTTGTATTATTTATTTTATGCAGTCTTTTTTGCTCATCTTTATCAAGGGTGCCAATAATTTGAGGTGACTGTATACTCATAATACAAACTTCATAAAATCATATTAATATCCATGGGAGATTTGTGAGAAAATTACATGCACATAGGATTCAGCATAGAATTAGGAATTAGTAATTTAATAGGATCTCTATGGGATTCAGCCCATAGTCAAATAGTCAATAGTGTAGACTGGTGAAAGTAGGCTGAATCCTAAATTGTGTGCATGTAACTTCAATGATCACGCACATCTCCCATTGACATCAATACATGATTTGGGTGAGATTCTGGGTTCCACACATTAGGATTTGTCCACAGCAGAGTATTCAATGCAAGCAAGTATGGAATGTACAATCTAGAGAATATCAGTTGAGTGTAGTGCAATGGTCTTACCACTGCGGGGGAGTTGACCACTGCCAGGTTATAGCCATAGCGCATGGAGCTCCCGAAGGAAGTGAGGAACGCTACTGCCAACAGAGATGAAATCAGGTGCTGCTGAGAAAGAGAGAGAAAGGGATAAAGAGAGATTATCTCCGAGAGCATATGTGCGGTACACACAGCTAATGTTTTATTCTTCGTTTTTTACTCCAACCTTGGCTCTTGATTAGTTAATTTGTGCTGTTAAGAGTCAAAGGTTTAAGATACAGTATGTGTGAATATGAATGGCAGTAAAAGTGTTCTTTACTGTTGGGCTCTCATTCATCTCTTCCATGGCCTTCAGTTTGGAAGAATCCATGGGTCTGAGGAACTGTTGGTATAAGCCACGTTAACCCTTAACATGTTTATTATGTGACTGTATCTAAAAGCATAATTGAGAAATAATTGATCAAAGTTGGCATATTTATGACATTTTGACATTACCCAGGCCTCCTTTAAGACTCCATAATGTTTCATCTATAGGTGCTACAAAGTTATGAATTATTTTATTTATTTTTTACTTTTACCCCTTTTTCTCCCCTAATTTCATGATATCCAGTTGGTAGTTACAGTCTTGTCCTATCGCTGCAGCTCCTGTACGGACTCGGGAGAGGTGAAGGTCGAGAGCTATGCGTCCTCCGAAACACGACCCTGCCAAGCCGCACTGCTTCTTGACACACACTGCTCGCTTAACCCAGAAGTCAGCCGCAAAAATGTGTCGGAGGAAACACCGTACAACTGCCGACCGAAGTCAGCTTGCAGGCACCCGGCCCGCCACAAGGAGTCGCTAGAGCGAGATAGGACAAGGACACCCCGGCCGGCCAAACCCTCCCCTAACCCGGATGACGCTGGGCCAATTGTGCATGGTTCTCCCAGTCATGGGTCTCCCGGGTCTGTAGTGACTGCGATGCAGTGCCTTAGACCGCTGCGCCACTCTGGAGGCCTTAAAGCTTTACTGCTTGTTCTGTAATATGAGCAGTACTTTGATTTCAAATTATTATTATTTTTATGTATAAATATTGAAAAATATCAACATGAATATTGAAAATAAACAATTTTTGATTTGGCAAATTGTTCAATATATTGTTGAACATAATATGCTCTATGGCATATCAACGTTCCAGAGTGGGATATCTGCTAGTTTTAAAGTTATGGCCCATTTTATAAGATTTTGGCCAAGATTTAGCTGTCCCAAACACGTTTTTGAGATCGGAGACAAAATCCCCATGTCGTTGCTTACTCAGGGCGCGTGGCCGTCACCAACGCTCATTTAATGTGAGCAGGTCAGAGACGCAATCTAAGGGCTACCGATCCCGTCTTTGAGCCGTCTCAGACGTCCCGACATTTTCAAACATGTTTGATATTATCGGCACAAAATCTGCTATGCTTTTGTAGTGTGAGATGTGCAACGACAAGTTTTGAGAACGTTGATCAGCAATACCCAATGAGCGCTCACCAGAGAAGAAGACAAAGATGATGACGTTGTGTCGCATCACTCAGAATGTGTAAACTCTCGAGCAGGAGCGATCTCTACTACTAGTATGCGTTTGTACTTCAGACAATCAGAGATTATGAAAGGAAAACCAGCCACATCGCGAATACAGATGCCTCACTCCCAGACAAGCTAAACGCCTTTTTCGACCGCTTCAAGGAAAACACAGAGCCGCCGATGTTTGCCCCCACTGCTCATGAGAACTGCGGGCTACCGATCTCTGTAGCTGACGTGAGTAGGACCTTCAAGAATTTTAACATTTACATTTACATTTACGTCATTTAGCAGACGCTCTTATCCAGAGCGACTTACAGTTAACCCTTGCAAGGCTGTGGGCCCAAACAACATCCCAAGCCACGTTCTCAGAGCATGCGCAGACCAGCTGGCTGGACAGTTTAAATACATTCTCAACCTCTCCCTATCCCAGCCTGTTGTCCACACTTGCTTCAAGATGACCAACATTGTTCCTGTACTAGGGATTTAGCGATTCACCGATATGCATTGTCCCCGATTCAAACGTTTGAGATACAATACATGACCAAAAGTATGTTGACACCTGCTCGTCCAACATCTCATTCCAAAATCATGTGCATTACTATGGAGTTGGTCCCCCCTTTTCTTCTATAACAGCTTCCACTCTTCTAGGAAGGCTTTCCACTAGATGTTGGAACATTGCTGCAAGGACTTGCTTCCATTCAGCCACAAGAGCATTAGTGAGGTCGGGCACTGATGTTGGGTGATTAGGCCTGGCTCGCAGTCGGCGTTCCAATTCATCACAAAGGTGTTCGATGGGGTTCTGGGTCAGGGCTCTGTGCAGGCCAGTCAAGTTCTTCCACGCCGATCTCGACAAACCATTTCTGTATGGACCTCGCTTTGTGCACGGGGGCATTGTCATGCTGAAACAGGAAAGGGCCTTCCCCCAACTGTTGCCACAAAGTTGGTAGCACAGAATCGTCTAGAATGTCATTGTATGCTGTAGCATTAAGATTTCCATTCACTGGAACTAAGGGGCCTAGCCCGAACCATGAAAAACAGCCCCAGACCATTATTCCTCCTCCACCAAACTTTACAGTTGGCACTATGCATTCGGGCAGGTAGCTTCTCCTGGCATCCGCCAAACCCAGATTAGTCTGTCAGACTGCCAAATGGTGAAGTGTGATTCATCACTCCAGAGAACGCTTTTCCACTGCTCCAGAGTCCAATGGCGGCGAGCTTTACACCACTCCAGCCGACGCTTGGAATTGCACATGGTGATCTCGACCATGAAAACCCATTTCATGAAGCTCCCGACGAACAGTTATTGTGCTGATGTTGCTTCCAATGGCAGTTTGGAACTGTAGTGAGGGTTGCAACTGAGGACAGACAATTTTTTTACGCGCTACGCACTTCAGCACTCGGCAGTCCCGTTCTGTGAGCTTGTGTGGCCTACCACTTCGCAGCTGAACTGTTGTTGCTCCTAGACGTTTCCACTTCACAATAACAGCAATTACAGTTGACCGGGGCAGCTCCAGCAGGACAGAAATTTGACAAACTGACTTGTTGGAAAGGTGGCATCCTATGATGGTGCCACGTTGAAAGTCACTGAGCTCTTTAGTAAGGCCATTCTATTTCCAATGTTTGTCTATGGAGATTGCATGGCTGTGTGCTTGATTTTATACACCTGTCAGCAACGGGTGTGGCTGAAAAGGCCAAACCACTAATTTGAAGGGGTGTCCACATACTTTTGTATATATATATATAGTGTACGACTGCATCGGTCCGCGGACCACAATCCGATCCAAATGTAGCATATGCACTGGTCAGAAGATCAATTCAAACCTTTTGAATCATCGATTCACTCACATTCTTTCTACCTTCCGAAAATACCTCATATTTTGTGACAACTGATGCATCCTCTCTTTCAGTGTCGAACTAAAAGCATGTAACAGTGTTTACAGTCATTGATCTACAAGTCATTTTGCATGCCTAACAACCCTAGGGATTATCAGTAGCCTAGTCAAACTGCACACTGTGCCCAGCTTCACACGCTGACAAAAGCGAGGTAGGCGGCCTGTTCCTGATCTTGCACATCTGCGTTAAAATGCTAAAATGGCTAATATGCTAGGTTATTGTTTTCAATGCGCTGTATAATAATTTTTTTACTGGAATAAAAGTACGCTACCGGAGACAACTCTCATCTCCATAGATATCGTGCATTCGGAAAGTATTCAGACCCCTTGACTTTTTCCACATTTTATTACGTTACAGCCTTATTCTAAAATTGATCAAATTCATTTTTTTCTTCATCAATCTACACACAATACCTCATAATGAGAAATTGAAAACAAGTATTCATACCCTTTGATATGAGACTCGGTCCATCCTGTTTCCATTTATAATCCTTGAGATGCTTCTACAACTTCATTGGAGCCCACCTGTGGTAAATTCAATTGATTGGACATGATTTGGAAAGGCACACACCTGTCTATATAAGGTCCCACAGTTAGTGCATGTCAGAGCAAAAACCAAGCCATGAGGTCGAAATAATTGTCCGTAGAGCACCGAGACAGGATTGTGTCGAGGCACAGATCAGGGGAAGGGTACCAAAACATTTCTGCAGCATTGAAGATCCCCAAGAACACAGTGGCCTCCATCATTCTTACATTGAAGAAGTTTGGAACCAACAAGACTCTTCCTAGAGCTGGCCACCCTGCCAAACTGGGCGACGGGTCTTGATAAGGGAGGAGACCAAGAACCCGATGGTCTGACAGAGCTCCAGAGTTCCTTTATGGAGATGGGAGAAACTTCCAGAAGGACAACCATCTCTGCAACACTCCACCAATCAGGCCTTTATGGTAGAGTGGCCAGACGGAATCCACTCCTCAGAAAAAGGCAAATGACAGCCCGCTTGGAGTTTGCCAAAGGTCACCTAAAGGACTCTGACCATGAGAAACAAGATTCTCTGGTCTGATGAAACCAAGATTGAACTCTTTGGCCTGAATACCAAGAATCACATCTGGAGGAAACCTGGCACCATCTCTACAGTGAAGCATGGTGGTGGCAGCATCATGCTGTGGGGATGTTTTTCAGCAGTAGGGACTGGGAGACTAGTCAGCATCAAGGGAAAGATGAATGGAGCAAAGTACAGAGAGATCATTGATGAAAACCGGCTCCAGAGCGCTCAGGACCTCAGACTGGGGCGAAGGTTCACCATCCAACAGGACAACGCAGAAGTGGATTCAGGACAAGTCTCAGAATGTACTTGAGTGGCCCAGCCAGAGCCCGGACTTGAACCCGAACTAACATCTCTGGAGAGACCTGAAAATAGCTGTGCAGAGACGCTCCCCATCCAACCTGACAGAGCTTGAGAGGATCTGCGGAGAAGAATGGGAGATACTCTAAAAACCTGTATACATCATTTACACACACACACACGTCAGCTCAGGCAGATCCAGCTCAGAGAGGCTCAGCTCATGAGCTCTATCAGCAGCAGATTTTAATTTAGAATGGAAACTGAATATGTTTTTATGCAACAAATTTAAGTGCATCAAAACGAACCGAATCACATCGATTAATTCTCTAATCAAACAGAGTCGCACCGAATCGTTTCAAACTAAAACGTAACGTTCATGGATCGTATCGGAGCCCATGTACAGTTGAAGTCGGAAGTTTACATACACTTAGGTTGGAGTCATTAAAACTTGTTTTTCAACCACTCCACAAATTTCTTGTTAACAAACTATAGCTTTGGCAAGTCGGTTAGGACATCTACTTTGTGCATGACACAAGTAATTTCTCCAACAACTGTTTACAGACAGATTATTTCACTGTATCACAATTCCAGTGCG